CGTGGAATATGTCACTCCAAGCTCTTCTTGCCTTGATGGTTTGTGTTGAGAAGTCTGCTGTGATTCTGATGGGCTTTCCTTTATATGTGATTTTTTTCTTTTCTCTAACTGATGTAGAATTTTGTTCTTTTGTTGGGTTTCTGGAATCTTAACTACTATATATCTATGTGTACATTTTTTTGATTAAGGCTAGGTGGAGTCCTATATGCCTCACTTATCTCTATGTCAAGTTCTTTTCTGCTATTTGAGAAGTTTTCTGCCATTATTTCTGTGAAGAGATTTTTTATGTCATCTCCACTCTCTCCTGTTTCTTCATTGACTCTGATCAGTCTTATGTTATTCTTCTTTGCATCGTCTAGCAGCTGCTGGATTTATTTCTTGTGGTCTCTTACTATTTTCAAGAAATTTTTCTTTTCCTGATCACTAATTGCAATCTTATCTTCTATATCTGAAATTCTATCTTTGCATTGGCTCATTTTGCTACATAAACTTTCAATGGCGGTTTTTAATTTTCTGGAAATCTGTTTGCATCTGTTTTATGGATTCCCTTTGTTTCCTATGTTGGGATTCCATCATGTTTCTCAGCTCCTCTATTTTATGTCTTGTTCTATGGGCACAATCTCTGCTGTTATCTGATAAATTATTTCTGATTTCATTTTTTCCAGATCCTCTCTTTTTGCCAGTTCAGGGAGTCCAGGAGGTCGAGTATCAGATTGTTCCATCTCATTTCCCTTTGGGGTTGCCTTAGGTGAACTGGGGGTCTGATATTGAGACTTATTTATGTGTCTTCTCATTTCAACAGATGCAGCCTGCTGTGCCTTTGTTGAGGGGACTTTTTGCTCACCCAGTGTTCTTGAATTCTCAGCAAGCACCAAACAGCCTTTACTCTACTCCTCACCAGTACACCAATTCCTGGGTTCAGAGTGGTGGCCTTCTGGATCCCTGAGCTGACCTGTTGCCTGGGCGGGCTTCTGACTGAGGCCTGTGCACACTTGGAATGGTGTCTAGGCTTGCCTCTCAGAGGGGACCCTATGTAGCTGTTGTCTGGGAGGACCTTTGGTTGGGAGCTGTGCATCCCAGTTCCTGTTGTCTGCACAGACTTTGGCTAGGGTGGCCATGCACTTATCAATGGTATCAGACAAGCCTCTGGGTATTGCTTGTGTGTCTGTACAGCTCTCCTCCAGGCAGATCCCTGGCTGTGGCTGATGGCATGCTGGGCCTCTGGTGGAAGCCCGCATGCCAGTGCAGCTCCTTTCTGGGTGGACCCCTGGCCTGGGTGGGTCCCCAGGGGCCTCTGAGTTCGGGATGGACCTGGGACTGGGATCTGCCTGCAGCTGCACGGGTCTTGGCCACACAGCTGCTCCCCTGGATCTGCACGCACTCACAGATGGAACAGTGGGGCCTCTGGTGGAAGCCTGCTCGCCCATTCAGCTCCTTTCGGGGCCTGTTGGATTTCTTTTGTCTTGTCCTGTACTCAGCATTTTCTCTTTCATTTTGTCATCTTTTCAAACACTATTCATTTATCTGTCTGAATTTCCCACTATGCTTTCTAATTTTGCTTTTATTTCTGTGGTTATTTTTTTATATCCTTTAACATTTTTTGCAATCTTTTCCTAGCTCATATTTCATGTCCTTCTTATCATCTGTTTCCTTGACTCTTATATTTTTATTCTGTCCTCCTGTTTTATAGAGGAAAATATTTCTTTGAGCTTTTTAAATGGGTTGAAATTATTTGGTCACAATTTTCGTCTGTTCCATGTTTCATCTTCTCCTGTTTCATCTGTTCCATCTTTTTCTATGGAGTGAATTTTAGCTTCTGTTTGTTTCTTTCCTTCCTTCCTTCTGTGGAATCCTTGTATAGATCCTATACTTAGTTTTTGCTTTCTTTCTGAAGTGGCTTATTGCTAAACAAGATGTTTGGAAGTCATTTGTATTAACATGTTTCAGGTTAAAAAGAACCTTCTTTGTGATTCCAAGTTGGAGGTAACTTTACTTGTTTATGCTCAACATAGTCAGGTAACTGTAGAACCATTATGGTACTTTCCTCTCACTTTTAGTCTCATTCCTTATCTGTAACTTGCAACTACAACCTGCCTGGGTTTGATTCTTCGTTTAGCTCTATCTCTGATTCTTGAATCCAACTCAGGATCACAGATAATGGCTCTTTACACTCCACTGCCTTTATTGCAAACAAGCACTTTTGGCTTTGTTTCTCATTGGTTTCCCTTTTCCTTTATAGAATTGTGCTTATCTCTATCTTTATGGCCATAGATTCCCATTTACTTCTTCTTGCCACTCTTCTATTTGAACTCCACTATCATCAAAGCCTTCCCTTCTGGTTTATGCATTGGAATTTTGGATATTTAGTAATTTTTTGAAGACATAATTTGTGTTTATTCTTCTGCTTGGTTTGGTAAGGGATAAATTCTGAGATGAGAAAGTACCAGATTTACTCTGTTGAATTGAAAGCAGAAGTAAACTGTCTGCTTATTCATTTTTCCCAAAAGTCTTGTTCTTATCTCTACAAAGAGATTCTTTCAGATAGGGGAAGGAGGGAGGACCAGAGTGTTAATGTTACCTGTTCTTGTGCCTGAGGATAAAGCAAAGGTATTGAGGTAAATGTAGCAAGAGAGATGCATAGTACAACCTAGAGAGTAAAAGAATCCTTAGCTGGAGAGAGGAAACTTGGCACAGAGTTGGACATGTGAAAAAAAAAGATCTGTTTCTTCTTTTCAAATAAATAAACTAATTGAGAATGTTGATTTTTTTCCTCTTTAATGTTTCTTTGTAGGAACTCATGCAGCCAAAATCTGGAGCCAATGGAACAGCCATTACCGAATTCATCCTGCTAGGATTAGTGGAAACACCAGAGCTATGGCCAATTGTCTTTGTACTTTTTCTCTTTGCCTATGTGGTGACAGTTGGAGGCAACCTCAGCATCCTGGCAGCCATCTTGGTGGAGCCCAAACTCCACACCCCCATGTACTTCTTCCTGGGGAACCTCTCAGTGCTGGATGTTGGGTGCATCAGCATCACTATTCCCTCAATGTTGGGTTGTCTTGTATCCCACAAGCGTACAATTCCATATGGAGCCTGCCTCACACAGCTCTTCTTCTTCCATTTGCTAGTTGGGGTGGACTGCTTCCTGTTGACAGCCATGGCCTATGACCGATTCCTGGCCATCTGCTGGCCCCTCACCTACAGCACCCGCATGAGCCAGACAGTCCAGAGGATATTAGTGGCTGTGTCCTGGGTCTGTTCCTTCACCAATGCACTGACCCATAGTGTGGCCATATCCACACTCAACTTTTGTGGCCCCAATGTGATAAATCACTTCTACTGTGATCTCCCACAGCTGTTCCAACTCTCCTGCTCTAGCACCCAACTCAATGAGCTGCTGCTCTTTGCTGTGGGTTTCATAATGGCAGGTACTCCCGTGGCTCTTATTGTTACCTCCTATGCCCATGTGGTAGCTGCAGTCCTTCGAATCAGCTCTCTTGAGGGCAGGAAGAAGGCCTTCTCCACATGTGGCTCCCACCTCACTGTAGTTGCCATCTTCTATGGTTCAGGTATCTTTAACTACATGCGACTAGGTTCGGCCAAACTTTCCAATAAGGATAAAGCTGTTGGAATTTTTAACACTGTTATCAATCCCATGCTGAACCCAATCATCTACAGCCTCAGGAACCCTGATGTGCAGGCTGCACTCTGGAGGGTGCTCCTGGGGAGGTGGTCACTGGCTTGAGGAGAGTTCAAATGTCCCTTCCTCCCTGTATCATTCTGAACTTTAAAAAAAATCCTCTACAGCCAGGGTCTAGAACAAATGGCCAGAACCTCTTCTATCTCCCTGAGCTTGAGGACTTTTATGGGAATAATAATTATTGTATCCCAAAGAAGTCCTCTACTCAATCATAGCCAATGAGTTTATTCTCTTTGACAAATTACAGTTTCATTTACGGTGTCATCATTTTCTGAGAAAAGGTGAAATTTAGAAAGTTGTGAATACTTAGAGTTTCATGCCATAGAAGAAGTGACTCCTTGATCAGATACAGCTTGGATTCCCAAGAGTACCCCAAAACTTCACCACCACCACCTCCACCACCACCAGTAGGGTCCCTATTTTTCCCTCAGGTTCATTATGATTGAGCTGTTCTTAAAACATAAGCTTACAGGGAAAAATAGGTCTTTCTATAGGATGTAGAGGAAACAGACAGGAAGCTGGTTGTGTGTTCTATAATTCTAAAGAACAAGATACCTGTATTTAGGACACAGATCTGTTTTTAAATTGTAAAACTTCACTCACATATGATACTATATCTTATGATACAAAATGATGTTTCTTATCCATCTGTCCCCATATTTCAAAATCTTCAAATTATTCAACATAAAATTCTCCTTTAAATTCTCACTCTTAGTAACCAAACCTCCTAGCTGTATCATTATGTAAATGAAATTAATATAGTGATACCTCACCCTAAATTCCCAATCAGTAGGGGAGTGTGGGCTATACATTATCTCATCCCGCTTTCAGCTTGTTGGGCTTTAGTCCAGTCACCATTTAGATGTATCTTCCTTCTAGCATTCTTTTAGGTAACTATCACATCACTGATTATTCCTGATTCATTTCTCCAAACCTTTATTTTTACCTACAACTGTGAGTTGGCTTCTCCTTGCTATTTTATGTGGGCGAAAGGACTGGGAACCTAGAGTGAGAAAAAGGAAGGGAAAGGAAGTGAAAGGGGAAAGAAAATCAAGATTGTTGGAGAGTGGAAAGTTTGTGGGGAAATTAAAATGAAAGATAGAGAATAGGGCAAAATTGGGAAAGAATTGCACTCAAAGAGAACTGAAGAGAAATAATGAATGTATTGGAGAGCACCAGATGGGGTACAGAGATAGGGTGGGAGATGAGAGAGAATGGAAGAGTTTGATAAGATGCCTTGAAACTGTTATAAGATCAGAGGAAGAAATTAGGAAGATAAAATTAGTGGTCAGAGATTGGAGATGTGGGTTTCCCATTTTATGTTGTCCACAGATAGCCAATTCTGGCACCTCTGGAGCCATTATTGTATTCCATCCTTTCTATTAAGAAGAAAATAAGATTCTAAGATGTGCTAAAGAGAGCACAGGGCCTGGCTTTCCTTTTCTCTAAACAGAGGTGCTCCTTGAATGTCAAGAAGAGAGTTTATCAAATGAGAAAAGACAAAAGAAAAAGAATGTTGGGTATTTCACTCAACTTTATATCTAAAACATCATCAAAGTTTATGACTAACTGCCCAGCTGGATCATGTCTACTACCAGTGTCAAAAGACAAGAGAAAGATGATTCTTTCCCCCTCCTTTAAAAGTTATCAGACAAAGTTTAGGGATATAAAGACTGAGATTCCACAAAGGTCAGGAAAATTGTTAGCAGGCCTGTGATGTGACATGGCCCTCATACTTCCATCCACAATGTTCTTTCTTGACCTTGAGTAAACTCCTTACCTTCTCTGGGCCTGTACTTGGTAGGACACAAAAGGTAGTCATGTTCTTCCACCACTAATGTTCTCTGGTTTCACTAGATTGAATGAACAGAAAGATTGTCTCACTCTGTCAACCCTGAAAGCATTATCATCACTTCTACCACTAGCCATTAGCACTGCAACAAAACAGATCTTGTCATTTACCCCCAAGATCCCTCTGCCTCTGGCATTTCTTTCTTTTTTTTTTTGTACCAGGGATCAAACTCAGGACCTTGGGCTTGCAAGGCAGGCGGCGGCACCACTGAGCTAAATCCCCAGCCTGGCATTTCTTTCATCTGGAAGTTCATATCAAGCCTTGGCATCATTACTGGGGAGCAATGGAGCAGCTGGGTTTAGTGTCACAGAGAAGGGCCCTTGATAAAAGCTCTCCATTCACCCTCCAGGATCAAAGGATTTCTTTAACAGTTTGAAGGATTCCTTTTGTTTTGAACTTTATCTCCCATTTTTTTCTCCAAACTAGAAATCTCCTTGTGTCTTAAAATTTCCAGTAGTGTTGTGAGTCTACTTCACAAGCTCATATGAAATACTAGTTACTTCTTTTTCATTAAAATAACAATATATGAGAAAAAAAGATATAAATGGAAGTGTCTGAAATGTTCATCTATTCAAATAAGAAATCATGCCTAAAATAATACATTGTACAATTGTAATCAGTTATTTGTAGCAATACTGAACAAATTTGTATTCCTTTTGACACAAAATCATGCTATCTACTGGAAATGTAAATAAACACATTGAAGATAGTGGAATAAACAGTAATTGTTCAAAACAAAAATATTTTTCATTAGACATGAAATTCACGATGTTGTATAAGTTGAAACAGTGCAGAATGTCATTGCCACCCTTCTACAAATAGCCAAAAAAATAAAATAAAACAACTAAATACAAATAGCCAAAACAATGTCATTTATTTTTCCGGTACTGAGGATCAAACTCAAGACCTTCCACTTGCTGCAAAGGGGCAGGGCCACTGAGCTACATCCCTGACCCAACAACATCATTTTTTAATACTAATTATTGTTAATAGTTTGGAGTTTAGCTTTCTAGGCATGTGAATACATACACACACATTCAAAACATCATATTATTTTGTAATTTATTTTTCTCTCTCCACATTGCATAGTAAAATTTTTGTATCAACCTACACATCTAACTTATCCATTTTAAAAAATACACAATATTTCACATTATGCACAAACTATAGTCTATCTAACCAAATCACATAGAGGTAATTTATTTCCTATTTTTGCAATTGCAAATAATATTGAGATCCATATTTATATATCTTTCCAAAATTTTAAATTACTTTCTACTGCTTAAATTCATGAAAATAATTTGTATGGGTACTAAGAAAATATAAA